ACTTCTGCCAACCCTAGGATGATGAATTACTGTAACAGCTCTGTCAAGTGCCCGGTTTCTAGAATCTATACTATTGCATATTCCATGAGTTTTATTTTGAAATCAATGTCTCATTTCTGGCTACTCCAGGGAAATCCCAAACCACTGGAAATTTTAGCATGTGCCAAAGTCTTGTAATGTACAAATTTAGTTTGAAATATCAGACTTGTGTATATTATATTCCATCTATTTAAAGCAAGCAAATCCATCTTAACTATTATATGTGTTCATAGAATATTTCAACTATTTCATTAGACTAAGGAATTTTGATGATTGAAATTCTGACAGTTTTTATCAATTGTGTGCTATGTGCAGAACACAATAAGGAGCTAGAAGAGATGCACCTAGCACCTCTATCACCCAGGAAATTACAAGGGTTTTAGGAGCTCTATGTCAGGAACTGAGAGAAGAGACCAAATATGTATTTCTTATTATGTTAGAGGTGGATATGTGACATTATACATTTGGCAAAACCCATTGGATGATACAACAGAAAGATAAACTCTAATGTAAACTCTGTTAATAATAATAATATATTAATATTTGTTCTCCACTTGTGACAAATGTATCACACTAATGCAAGGGGAAACTATAAGCAGGGGAGAAAGAGAACTTTCTATACTACTTGCTTAACTTCTGCAAACCTAAATCTGCTCCAACAAAATAAAGTATTATTTTTTTAAATGAAAAAAATTTAAAATAGTCAATGAGGTTGTTTGGCAAACTGGTCAATGAAAAGAGTAATGTAACATTTAATGAGAGGAATTTAATACAGAAAGAATCGAATTAAATCATTGTTTAATAATCCATGTTTGATCAGAACTGTCTGCCATGAGACCATATTAAAGGAAGCTATAGTCTTCACGCGATTAGAAGTAACCATTGAAAGAAAGCCTACACTGTTGTAAACCATGGGTAGATACAGATAAGAAAGATAATGCTATATACTTTCAAAATCAATAACACCCTCACGACTTCTTTTATTTTCACAAAACTTGTTCTATCTGGAATTTGAAATCTCATCAAGTTTTTGTCCAAATAGTAAAAGCAGACTAGGATGCCCATAGCGAAATAAAGGTAGAAATGTTTATGTCAATCTAAGATGTACTAGCCAGAATTTTTGCAGAGAAGGCAGGCTATCCTATATTTTGTTATTTGTGCCTTGTATCCGTTTCATTCTATCCTTATGTTCAAGTTACCTCCTTGTATTGTATTAATTTTCAAATAGTGCTGAGAATCTTTCAATCTGACCTTTCTACAGCAGGAGTAGACCAAGGAGCCTAAGGCATTCCCAAATCCAAGTTTTTGTGTCTAGAAGGCTTCTTTTGAATTTTATTGAGCTAGAATTCATATGTCACTGATAAAAATTTGACTATAAATTTATGCTTTTAATTCTTAGATGGGTTCTAGTGAAGCGTTTAGGATCAGTTCAGTCCCTTTGTCTATGGAACATAAAACACACTCTATCAAAGGTCGGGACACAAGTCTTACGATATCAAATCCAGTGTTCTTTTCATCAAGTATGCAATTTTGTATGACTCCATAGCCAGACCTCTGGAGTCTGGCTTTCAGGTCTGCAGGGGTCAAACCCAGGCTCCACAGTGTTAATAAATGTTTTTAAATTATTATATAAAAACATATAATCACTGCAGAAAATTTAGCAAGAGAAGCAGCAAGAGGAGTTGGAAGAAGGGAAGAAGAGGAAGGAAGGAAGGGAAGGAGGGTTGGGTAGAAGAAGGGAAGAAAAAAAAGAAAAGTCTCTTAAAATCTAAGCACTTTAAGTTAAGAAATATGAGATTTTAGTGTTCACCACCCTGGATGATTTGTAACATTCTACACACTCTTATAACTTGCCTTTCTCTGTTTTACATCTTTCAGTGGGAAACTACAGTTAGAGTTGGAAGGTGGTAGAAAACAAGTGTTGGAACTAGACTTCCTGGTTCCTATGCTGGCACAGCTTCTCAGTGGCTGTGGGATCCTGAGCGGGCTACTCAATCTCTGTGTTATCTCAGTTTCCCATCCATACGATGGAGATAAAAATAATAACTGCTTCTTCATAGGGTCTATTGTGAAGATTCAGTGGCTTAATAAATTTAAGCCACTTATAACAGTGCGTGGTATGAAGTACACTCTATATCAGGGTCAGCAAAACTTTTCAGTGAAGAGCCAAACAGTAAATATTTAAGGCTTTGCAGGGTCATATGGTTTCTGTTGCAACCCTCCAGTGCTGCACAAAAGCAGCTGTAAATGAATGAGGTGGCGGGTTCCAGTTAAACTTTATGGTCACTGAACTTGAATTTTATATAATCTTCACATGTTATGAAATTATTATTCTTCTGATGTTTTAAACCATTAAAAATATAAACATTTTGCCCTGACTGGTATGGCTCAGTGGATGGAGTGCCAGCTTGCAAGCCAAAGGGTCGCTGTTTCAGTTCCCAGCCAGGGCACACCCCTTGGTTGCAGGCCAGGTCCCTGGTAAGGGGTGTGAGAGAGGCAGCTGATTGAAGTATCTGCTGCACCTTGTTGTTATTGTCCTTCTCTTTCTTCCTTCCCCCTCTCTAAAAGTAAATAAATAAAATCCTTCAAAATATGTAAACATTTTTATCTCACAGTCTGTACAAAAATGGCAGTAGGCTGGACTTTTGGGCCATGGTTTCCTGACCTTTCTTCTATATAATAAATAGACATTATTAAGTCATTATTATCTTTCTATGAGTTATTTTTAATGTTTGCTTATAACAAGATTGTTTGGATGTCCTATAATTTACTTAGTTCCCTAATGTTAGAATTTAGGTTATTTCCGGTATTCATTGTATACATCACACTCCAATGAATATCCATGCAAAATTTTTGTGCACTTTTATCGTTACATCTACATCCTAGAGTGGTAGCTACCAAAATGAAAGAAAGAAATAGATTCTCAAGAAGTGGCCTTGAAAACTAATCTTATATAGTTATGGCAAACTTCAAACATGTTAGAGAAAGCGCTTTATAAGTATAACATATATTCATAGACATAGAACTTCTATGTATCACGGCAGCATTCTAAGCCATATATATATAAAATCATTTAGTCTCCAAAATAATTCTAGGAGGTACAGCTGCAATCGTTATCATCAGCAGCAGCAGCCCCATAGTACAAAGGAAGAAACTGAGGCATAGAAAAGCTAAGTAACTTCCCCAAGGTCACACAGGTAGCGGGTCGCAGAGGCAGCATTCAAACCTGGTCCGTCCAGCCTATGATTGAATACAATATTGAATTGCCCCTTCATTGGTGAGACTTGGCCCTCCTAAGTACACTATGTTGTACCTGTAGTCTTTTGTATATTTAGATCATGTTTGGCACCCAGAGGGACCTCATACTCTAATAATAGGCACAAATTTTATCTCATAATGGGATACTGGGTGGGAACTGTGAATGCCCATCTAACCTTTTGTCCTCCAACCCTCGCCTCATGCCAACTCTTTATTAATTTGTCCTGCATTTCTTACCCAAATAGTTGTCCTCTACAAACAGTAAAGATTGATTGGAGCAGACTTTCACATCTTGTTTTCCAATTTAAGGTCCCAGCTGTGGAGCTTCGATTACAAGGGAGGGCCTTGCACCGCAATTGGATTGCAAATTTAGGATAAATGCTTTCCTTTGAAAACAGAACAGTGGCACGTGTCAAAAGTCTCTCCCGCGGGGCCCCAGCAGCAGCAGCAGCTGCAAGGCTGGCTTGCTCCAGCCCCTGGCGACTCCCCGAGGGAGGTGTCCTGCTTCTGCGGGGACCACACCGCTAGCCTCCGCCACAAGGGTCAAACGCGAGTTGCGCGCTCTCCCGGCCCTTTCCTGCTTGTTTCGAGCTGTAGGCGACTGTCCCAGAAAGGAGTTACGCGAGTGGGTCGTTGGGCTTGTGAGGGGAAATGCAGATTACAATTCTCATTTCTCATCCTGACTTTTCTCTCCCTGCTAGGACTCTATTGCTCGAGTTATCCCAGTGGGGATGAGCGACCGACGCCACTGGTCCCAAAATGCCGCGTGCACCCCTACTTATGCCCAAACAAAGACAGAATCGAGAAGACGGGAGGAAACGAGGAAAGAAAGAAGCGGGTGTTTCAAAGTGATCACGGTGGTGCCGACGCAGCAGTGCAGTTGGCGGAGCCGGGAGGGGAGTCGGGGTGGAAGCTTGGGGCTCCGCCCGCCAGGGGGACGCGGGGGTGCCGGGCGCGTGCGCGGTGAGGCCCCAGCCCTGGACGCCGCTGTCGCGATGCCTATTTTAGTCAAAGCCACTGCCTGCGCGGGGATCCGATATGAGCTGAGGAGCCTCCAGACCCATCGATCTGCGGAGGCTTTTGCGTCCGGCTCCCGTAGAACCGTCGCACCCGCGTCCCTCCGGTTGCTCCCCGCCGGTTGCTGCCCCAAACTTTGGCCAGCGCCGCCCAGGCTCCCCGTCAGGGACAAACCAGGTAAGGAGCAGGAGGCACAGCTGCCACCGAGAGTCCGGCTATTTGCAGCCTCGCGCTCCCGGTGCTAAATCTGGAAGCCAAAGTTGGATCCCTGCTCCACTGTGAGCAACTTCTGCGTCCCAAGCGGCTGCTGCCAATTCTCCGCGCTTCGGCCGCCGGGAGCCCCGCCCTCTTCTTGCTGGCCGCGCCCTCTAGGGGTTTCCTGTCCTTGGAAGCCACTCTTCTTCTCCCGGGGTGTTGGCGCCAAGGCCACAGACCCTCAAGTGTAAGCTTTTGCAACTCGGGTTTGGGAGCACCAGCGTCCCCGGGCGCGCGGGTCTCATCGGGTGCCCGTTCCCGCGCTCTGCTTCGGGCATATCCTTGACGATCTCGGCCTGTCTCTCCTGGTTGGGCTCCCGGTGTTCCCTGCCCCTGAACCCACTAGGCACCGCCTCGCCCCCGTAGGGCCGCTGGGTCCTGCGCGGAGGCGGTGTACCGTGTTGGAGCTGGGTGTGTGAGGTGCACATCCCTCGTGGTCCGAGAGCTTCGGGTCAAGGAGAACAGCGGACACTGACTCTCCTTTAAGGAGACAGGTGAGCGGAGCCTTTAGGGGCGGAGATGGCTAGGGAACCCGAAATCATGGCCACCTCTGCCACATTCCCACTCCCCCCCCCCCCAACCGATTGTTGTCCAAACGAGTCACAGAAACTGCTTGTTTTTAAGTGAGAAAAGACTTAACGACATAATGCCCTTTGGGATTCCGAAGATGTATGTACAAAGGTTCAGTTAGACTTACAGAATGAATTGAATAAGTATACTACCACGACTTCTGCTCACTGCTGTTATCTTTTTCATTTTTGTAGTTTGGTGACGAGTTAAGATTAGTTTCACTATTTAGCTACGTGGCCCTGCAGACACCTATTTGAAAACCAAAAGATAAACAGGACTTTACTAAACGGCTAGTTTTAGAAACTAGACTCCGAAAACTAATAGAAGAAAGCAAAGTTTTCTCAATTTAATCAAAATTATTCTGAATATTTACCAATTTGCCAGTCTAATCTTCCTCATTAGACCCATTCACTTTCTGTATAAGGACAGTTCAGTGTAAACCGTTTATATCCATTAATAAAGATCAAAGGAAGCTGAAACCCGCAAGATCCTATCAATATTTATTGACAATAGATAACTGGCATTTCAAAATAGACATACAGATGAAGATACATAGGCAAATAATAGGCATAGCTAAGTATACAGGTAAATAATTTATATATAATATAATGTATATTAACGTACGGTATAAAAATACATAGAGCCCTGGCTGGTGTGGCTCAGTGGACTGAGCTCCGGCCTGCGAACCAGAGGATCGCGGAGTCATTTTCAGTCAGGGCACAGGCCTGGGTTGCAGGTCAGGTCCCCAGTTGGGGGCGCACAACAGGCAACCACACATTGATGCTTCTCTCCCTCCCTTTCTCTAAAAATAATAAAAAAAATATTTTAAAAATACATAGAAACTGAAATATATAAACTACATGTGTGTATATGTATATCTTTAATAAGGTATAGTGCATCAAAATATGTTGTAGGATGATCGCACCTTTTAAAAATTTATATTATTATTTCCCTAGTTCTTGGGCCAGTAGATTGTAGTTTTCCTATCATTTCCTTTGGACCAGAAACTGATACTTTTAGTGCCACTCGAAGAACATTTAAAAGCCTGAAATTGAACTGCAGCAAATTAGCTGGCAATACAAGTGTAATCAGATGTGTGTGTGTGGCGGGGGGAATGTATTAATTAACTTATTATATAAATGTGTATTAGAGGCACAGGCCATTAAAACTCGAAGAGGTTTCAGAGACCACCTAGTCCAGCTGCCCCCGTTCCCAGAGAGAAGCAGACCCAAAGAGCAGATGTGACTTCCCTGGTTTATGTGGCTCTCCAGGGCTTGTGGTATAGACACTGGCTCGCTGAACCTCAGGACGGGTAGGCATCTTCCATCCTTAGTGCTGAGGTTTGGGGAGACTGAACAGATTTCTAACTGTGTTCCCCATTGTTTGGGTCCCTTTCCTATGGCTTTCACCTCTGGCATTCTCTACACAGATGAGTATGAATGACATCGTCCCTACCTCATGGAGAACATAGAGTAGTTAGAAGAACAAATAGGACAATGGGAGTAAAAGCACTTTCTAAAGTGCAATAGAAATAGCAGTTGTTATTAGCTAGCTTATATAATGCTAATGCATAAACTGACATTGACATTAGCTTTATGAGTGATAGAGGACATTTAATATCATTCTCGCTCTTGCAGAAATTAGGAGATTATTTCTGATTTGGTCCTTGAAAGAAAACTTTGTGTAAGTAGAATTATTAAAATAATATGCCCTCTTCCCTCAATCCCAATAGGCTTATATTTTTATTGATCCAAACATTTGGAAAGTGGTTGAATTTTTATGATTGCCTTTTGCAGAAAATCGATATCTAAGTCAACTATTTCTCTTGTATTTATGAGCTATTTCAGAGTTATGTAAAAAGATCTTTAATTGACTTGATCATTTCATTCACAGTTTGGAAGTTGGTGTGTGTATGTTTTTTTATCACCTTAAGAGATGTGGAATTCTTGCACATTTGTCTAATAACATCTTTTCAAAATGCCCAACCTGTACCAATTATTCTACCACTGAAAACCTTTACTTTAGTATGATGAAAAAAATGAATGGAAAAGTGTGGTTAACTGACCTTATTAGAAAAAAAAAGAAAAACTTATTTTAAATTAAATTTAAAGGCATTTTTGGTCCCATTTGGAATTCTTTTCTTAAAACAGAATAATTCACCTATTACATAAATATACATAGTTTTTGTTAGGGACCAATTTGTATAATTAATAATAGAAAAATAGAAAAAGCTTTTTAAAATCTATCTAGAGGCATAAATTAGTAAAAATGTTTTTGTTCCTCAAATTTAATACCATTGCTTCTTCTGGATGTACCTCATAGTGTTGAATAAATGTCCTTACTAAGTAAAATTGTTTGAACACTGTATGAAATGTGTAGGAAGAGTTTTTTTAAGTACCAGAGATGGAGGACAGGTATTATGGTCAGAAAGTAGTGCCATTTTGTGTAAAATATATATTCTTTGATATGTATTTCCTACATACTTCAATATTAAATAGTTAAATATATATTCATGACCAACATATAAGTAAATGTTTATGACTTTTCAATTTGTGAGATGCAACCAACTAGGATTTTTATGGGAAAGAGTAAGCTGAGATTTAAATTAGACACTAAAAGATGGAGTAAAATTTATATCTTTTTTTTGTATCTATAAATGATTATAGTAATGTATTAATTATGTGCATATATTATAATATAGAATGTATATATATGTAGTACACAATGATTTCACAACCATATAAAAATACAGCCTTCCAAATATCCTAAACCTTCATATTTAAATATGAGGTTGTTCATTTTCTTTTTTAAGTTTTCCAAAAAATCAGTTATTCCAGTTATTCTTCCTGTTTTTGTATTTAGTGTCACTATTGGAAATAAGGTGGGAAACTATACTAAATAACTTTATAATTGCTGTAGTTTATGAACATCAGTGCTTATCTTTCAGACTAACTAATCCATCCTTCCTTTCTCCGTCACCATGATGTATTAATATCTATCTGTATAAACATACATGATTGTTTTACATGTATTTACATGTACAATAGATATTACAGATATATAGGTATACACACACATATCAGAGAATAGTTGGCACTATGCTAAATAGTTTACATCTTTTATTTCATTTAATGATTAAGACAAATATTAATCATAAAGTCAAATGAGGTATTATTATCATCATTTAACAGATAAGGATCCAATATGCGACAGAGCTGGGATTTGGACCTGCGTCTAACTCATGAACATCAGAGAAATCTATTTACCAATGTTTATCCACAGAAATAATTTTGGTATAACACCTATCGGGGTGGTAAGATAAAGCTGTCATTTTTATGATTGTCTTTTTGTTTTTTTATACAGGAATTTTCAAGATGAATTATACTGATTCCAGCCCATTGGCAGAATCTACTACAATAGGTTTTACACCTGAGTTAGAGAGTATTATACCTGTGCCTTCAAATGAGACCACTTGTGAAAACTGGAGAGAGATACATCATCTGGTTTTTCATGTAGCAAATGTTTTTTTTGCAATTGGGTTGATTATTCCAACTACTCTTCAGCTCCATATGATACTTCTTAGGGGGATGTTAGCTATAGGTAAGATACCTGACTGAGATTTTATTTATCTTTTCTGTAGCTGGCATCAGATGGCTTTTCTGCTGGGAACTTTAGAGAATTCTTTGCCAGGTCTATAGCATACCAAAAATACGTCTTTGCTATTGAATTAGCAGTATATCAAGGAACTTTGAACATAGGCCTTCATATGCCGTACCCTTCCCTTACTTTAGATAAACATTTGTATGTTTTCATATTTAGTTTAGATTCCCCAGATATCAGAAAATCCATTCGTGTGTAGAAGTGTGGACTTTTGGAGCCAGATTATGTGATTTGAATCCTGGTCCTGACACTTGCTAACTGTAACTGGAGCAAGTGACTTAACCTTTCTATACCTCGGTTTTGCCGTGTGTCAAACAGGATAAAAATAATGCCACCTCCTAGGAGTGTTGTGAATATTAAATGAGTGTGTGTATGTGTACACATTTGATTTATAATACAGCCTGGCAAATAGTAAGTACTATTTAGTCTTAAACATTATTATTTGAATAGGCATATAATTGACATGGGCAGCAAATCAACATTAGGAACAAGAGCAATTACTCAGACACAATAGTTTAAATAAAACTTCTTTTTTGGCCCCAGTAACCCTGATGAAGCAGATTAAATTGATTCCTATCAAAATACTAAAACAATTGAATTTATTATTTGAACCAGTGATTCTTGCCAAATGACTCTATGATTATTTCCCTAAAGATTCATTTATTCAGGTGCATTTGGAGCACTTATTACATGTCAGGCAAAGATTGAAGAATCTCCGTCCTTGAGAAAGATAGTCTTTTGAGAGCTGGAGAGAAACAGATGGGCGGTCACACCTGATGCGGGTGTGCCACGTGCCAGGGAGCAATGGAGAGTGATAGGCTTAGCAAAGATGGGGGAGCAAGGTTCCCCTGAGGAAATGACACTGGAGCTGGCTTTTGGAAGATGAACAGGATATCTCTAAGTGTGGGTGTGTGTGGCACTCAGGTAAAGGCACAGAGGAGAGGGAAATTTGGCATGTTTAGGGGGAATGAAGAGTAGCTTATTGTGTCTGAAACATATGAACTATGACATGGAATGGCCAAGGGAGAGGCTGACTGTTAAGTGACTCATCTGAAACTATAGTGCCGGCCTGATCAGGACTGTAATTCAGGTCCTCCAGCTTCCCATTGGCCTTTCCGTTATGTTACCTTGTGTCTTTTAAGTAACAATATTTAAAATTTTTTCAAATTTTGCTATGAAATATTTAAAGAACATTTAAAGTTTTACATTTTATGCTGTTATTCAGCTGCCTCAGATTAGTCTGATGAAATTTAAAATTGCAAATGAATAACTTTAACAGGAGAGGTTAGCTTTTATGTATGTGTGTCATTGATATATTTGTATCATATTGATATTTTTAAGTTAAAAATATATACTGATGGTCTCACCATAAGATTCATCAAAAGAAGCTGTTGCTATTTTATTTAATGAGAATCAATAAGAAAAACTAGAAAGATTCCCATAGATAATGGATAACCACCAAGTTAAAATGAGGATGGTTAGAAGATTTGGGTAAAATATTCAAACACCAAAGTCATGGAAATGCAAAATATAATTATACAAATTATACAAAATTCCTCACAATCAAATTAAGAGTTTTCAAGTTTTATAATACTGATAACTTGATACTGACATTCCCAACTAGTAGGATTGCAAGTTATTAGAAACCTTTTGGAAAACAGTTCTTCAATGTCATCAAAAGCTATGAAGTTCATTCCCTTGACTTACTGTCAGGTAAACCACCCTAAGCAAATAGCCACAAAAACAGATCAACTTTTACATATAAAGATATTTTGGCTGCTTATCAAAAATTGCAACTCAAGTCTCATCTGTCCACCAATAGGAAGATGGTTGAATAAATTATGGTTTAATCAGTTACAGTCATTAAAAGCTACATACACACAGAGTTTTTAATATAATGAGAAAATTGCTGCCGTTTAAGAAAAGTGGGTGTTAAAATTGTATACAATAGTTTTGCCATCAGGTAAAAATGCATAAAGGCTGTAAAGAAGTATTAAATATCAATAGTGGTTCTCTTTAAGTAGTAGAATTATGGATTTTTTCCTCTTTTAAAAAATATTTTCTACAACAAAGCACATTTTTCTTTTTTGATAACCAGACAAAAAACAAAACGAAACTTAATGTGATGTTTGGGCTTAGGTATTTTTAGAATGTATTTGGTTTACTTTACAAATTTATTAAGCTTCATGCTGAAGCTATTCTAAACACCTAACAGATTTAACTTTGTTATTCAACAGGATGCTCCCTTTACATCGTCTGGGCCACTCTCTACCGATGTGCCTTGGATGTCATGATCTGGAACTCTGTGTTCCTCAGTGTCAACATTTTGCATCTTTCATATCTTTTGTACAAGAAAAGACCGGTAATTACCTAAAGTTAATTAGTATGGAAGAGATTTTAAAGCTAAAAAGCTTTTAGAGTACTTTGTTCAGACAAGAATGGGCATCTAACATTTTTAGTCCCTTTAATATCATTCCAGATGAAACTCTCTGTTTACATATGCTGTCAAGTGAACCATCTGAATACCACGAAGTGTGTTCTACAAATGAGGTTTTTAAACTTCTTAAAATCATTAGAGAAGTTTAGACATGAGACAACGTGACAGTATTCTCTCTTTTTTGTCAAATAACTTCATTATTCCTTTATTGATATTCAAATGTTACTTGTGAATATCTTTGCCTAGTTATAAAGTTAATTATTCATAGGCACCTTCCATAAACATACTAGTGATTTACAAATAGCTATGAAATTTCTCTCATGCTAGTTTTGTTTTCTTTTTCTTTGATCCTCATCCAAGGATATATTTAGAGAGGAAGATGGGGAGCGGGGGACACTGATGGGAGAGAGAAACATCAATTGGCTGCCTCCCCTACACACCCTGACTGGGGGTCAAACCCACAACTTTTTGGTGTACAGGGACGACGCTCCAGCCACCCAGCCAGGGCTTCGTGCTAGTTTTTAAATGTAATGATGCTATTTTTTTCTTATGCCCAGAATATTCATTTAAGGATATCATCATTTTGGGTGAGTTGTCATCAAAACACTAGGATTTAACTTTTACTTTTCAATTCTGATTTATCTTGCTGTGTTTCCTTGGTCATACCAAGAACAAAAAGATATAAATAAAATAGAATAGCCTGGCTCCTATAAATCACTTTAAACATGTTTATTGACTGTCCAAAGCACACACATAAATTCAGTCAAGTAAAAAATACAATGTTTGCCCTAACCTTACATTCAAGACCAGACACGAGTGTAGAAGACTGTTAGAAAACAAGACAACTCATGGGAAATAACAGTTTGAATGACACAGATGATACAGATAATAGACATTCCACTAGACTGTAACCCGGTCTATTTTCCCTAGTATATTAGTTAGTTTTCTCCATGTTATGCCGTATAATTAACAAGCTGAAAATCTCGGTGACATACAGCAGCAACAGGTTTTTTCCTCACCCACCTTAAGTGAGGACTCTGGCAGCTGTGTCTGCTGTGGCTGTTCCATGTGCCTTCTTCATTTCAGAGTGTCTGCTGAAGCAGCAGGTTCTCTTTGGACATGCATTCTCCTGGCAGAGAGAGACGTACAAGAGAACAAAAGAGAAACACCCAGTGTCTCTTAAAATTTCTGCTCAGAAAGGGCGTATGTCAATTATGTTCCCATTTTACTGGCCAAAGCCAGTGACATGGCCACGCCTGATCGTATGGGGCTAGGATGGGGTAAAGGAATGGATAATCCTCTTACGCGGATGGAAGCAGTGGAGAGTTGGGAATAACAATATTATCTACCACACTTACTATTGTATTCCCTGTTCCTATCAACCGTGATTGGCACCTAATGGGTGCTCAAAAAACACACTTGATGAGTGGATGCTGTCAGAAAGCAGAATTAAGAGTGCATCTTGAAGGAATTGGGACTTGAGCTGAGACTTGCAGGATGAGCAGAGTATGAATATGAGTCAATAGATTTTTTAGTTCATATACTCATTACTGTGCCACATTGGCTAGTGTGCATACTGGAAGTGAGACATATTTGTGAATAAGTTATTTTAAGCACTCATTACTGGCACTCTGGAGTGGAGGAGGCAGGTGATCATAATAATGAGGATTTCTGTTTCTGAGTATCAGAACTTGCTGGAACCCCAAGTTTTGAACATGAGGTTCAGAGGTTGCTGATGTGATGGTAGCATCAGGTGAGTAAATCACTTAGTATCTGAACTTTTGTTTCTTTTCGGACTATAAACCCTTTTTGAAAAATATAAATGCTGATTCTTTGTTACGATGCAACAGCAGGACAAGTGAGAACATTGCAAAGACTGCCTTGACTTCTGAGCAGCTCTCGTCATCTGGGTCCTTAAGCTTCATAGTGTGACTGCCGTAGATTTCATTGGGACTGATGACCACTTGAACCCCACAGGGCATTGACATGCGGTCTATGCTGGGCCCAAAGGTGGATGTGACCTGAGCCTTGATTGTCTGACAACAGAGACGATTGAGACATTCTAGTTGTCTCTTCTTCCAGCAGCCTGCCTTTCTCACTAGTGGGTTCCCTATTCTACAGATTTTATTTTAGCTTAGGAAGAAACTGCTACACCGAAACCCTTTTACACTCTTCACTTTGCTTCAGAATAGATAAATGAGAGGCAATGATTGCAGCTGTGGATGCTTGTTTTCCTATATTGATGCACTAAATGATAATTATATGTAGATAAAACGCTTAACGTATGTATTTTCATAAATATGTTTCCAGGTAGATTCCAATTTTGTGTGTCTATTTTCTCGCTAAATATTTTAAAGTTAGTGTAATTTCTGTGAAACAATATTGTCCTAAAAATGAAAAGGTTTTGTGTTAATTATAAGAAAACCCTAAGATTGGGATATGTAACAACATTCAAAACATCCATAGTGGCTTTATAGCATGTAGGTAGAGATGTAATCAGTAGTGCAAACCTTCCCCATGAGCTCTCAGATCCGTTTAACTGCAAAAGTGCCCTTTTAGCACCGAAACTTCTATCGCCACTTACTCTCGGTGTGAGATTCCATTGACTGAGATAACGGAAGGGTGAGGGTATTACAAATTTATCCTTTAAAATGTATTTAGACCACAGAAGCCAATGTTTTGGTGTTGCTGCATTAGTACAGCATCTCGTCATTGCTGTGTTTTAGGTAAAGATTGAAAAGGAACTCAATGGCATCTACCGACGATTGTTTGAACCACTCCGTGTGCCTCCAGATTTGTTCAGAAGATTAACTGGACAGTTTTGTATGATCCAAACCTTGAAAAAGGGTCAAACTTATGCTGTGGAGGATAAAACCTCAGTTGATGACCGCCTGAGTATTCTCCTGAAGGGAAAGTAAGTGATCTTCTCATGGCCTCTGGGTAGGAAATGAATGGGAGGGGATATTGCCAAATAATGGAGGAAGTGGTCACAGAGTTTGTTGGTGATGAACCTTCATTTTACGACTGCATTTTTAAATACTACAGAGCAACATACTATGCAGAATTTGCTGTTCTCAGTCTTGTCAGTGTCAGGATTTTCAATTGTGAACATTCTTAATCTTTTTTGAGCTTTTATTTCAAATTAATGAGTCACACCCTGGCTGAGTAGCTCAGTTGGTTAGAACTTTGTCCAGATACACCAAGGTTGTAGGTTCGATCCTTGATCAGAGCACATACAAAAGACAACCAATGAATGTATAAATGGGTGGAACAACAAAATCAGTCTCTCTCTAATCAATAAGTAAATCTTTTAAATTTAATGAGTCAAGCCTTGGCTGGTGTGGCTCAGTGGACTGAGTGCTGGCCTGTGAACCAAAGGGTCACTGGTTCTATTCTCATTCAGGGCACATGCCTGGGTTGCGGGCCTGGTCTCCAGCTGGCAGCATGCAAGAGGCAACCACACATTGATGTTTCTCTTCTCTTTCTCCTTCCCTTCTACTCTGTATAAATGAATGAATGAATGAATGAATGAATAAAATGTAAAGTTGATGAGTCAAAATTTAAGTAGGTTTAAATTAGGCATTGAAGTTCAGGAAGATTGTTCATGTTTCAGAGTTGATTATTTTTTGAATATCACAAATACAACTTCTAAGAATATTAGTTTTCTGGGGGGGAGGAGAGAGAGTGTATATTGTTTTGGCATAATAATATTGCCACCCTTTCTCTCCCAAAAGTGTCTGAGTTTGAGTATGGTCACTGTAGTAGATATAAGAGCAGTGAAACCCATTGTAAGGCACACATCTAGTTTGATACTGGAAGCTGTCTTTTTCTTATTGTTGGTGAAATGTATTTTGAAATAAATACTAGTCTTCAGGAAGTACTTTTGATTATATCAGTCACCTGTGGAGTCTTTAAAACTTTAGTACAAAAGCCCATAAGATTATGATGATTTTAAGGATTATTATGTTATTTGTGAAAAATTATACTCTTTTTAACATTAATTTCTATTATCAGAATGAAGGTCTCCTATAGAGGACATTTTCTGCATAACATTTACCCCTGTGCCTTTATAGATTCTCCTGAATTTAGATCAACTCAGATGCACAAAGGTGAGAAGTTCCAGGTATGTTTTGGCATGGGGTTTGTTTTGTTTTTGGTATGTAGTTATTTAGTTTTTTACTCTATTTATGTATTTATTTTAAATTGAGGTATATTTGATATGTAACCTTATATTAGTTTTAGGTGTACAACATAATGGTTAAATATTTGTATAATTGCAAAATGGCACCCCAATAAGTCTAGTTAAAGTTCATCACCATATATAGTTACATTTTTTCCTTGTGATAACTTTTAAAATCTGGCATGTCTCATTAAAGTCCAAAGGATATAGAAAAATGACCATAATTTATTTAAAAAAGAGATTACGATGTGGTATATATAGTATGATCTCATTTTTATCTAACTTTAAATAGTGCATATATGTGCACAAAAAGAAGTCTAAAAAGATCTATCCTAATTTGGTCATAGTGTTAATACTGTTATTTCTGATTTGTTGAGTTTGATTGCTTTTTTGTTTTCCTTCTTTCTGCTTTTTGAATATTTATAATTTTCCATGGAAAACATCTAGTGCTTTTATTACAGAAAGAAGGAAAATGTCAGTTGGGGATAATTAATGTTCCTAAAACATGTAAGTGGTTACTTTTAGTGGGGAAAAACAGAAAACTGGCTTTGCCCTAGGAAATTTATTTGTTAATCATTATGAAAATCTAATCACTTTATTCTTTTATATTCAATATAGTTAAGGGCAAAGAATGAAGTTTTCATACTTATAACAATTTGAACATGGACTATTGAGTGTGATTCCTTTTGTACCTTAAAAAAAAAATACCCCATGATGTGATGCTTTGTTGTGATTCTGTAAGCACCCAGCCCTCCTACTTTATCTTTCTCATTATTGGTAAGGAAGTAACCAAGAAAATGGGTGACAGCTTCCTTTAGTCTCAGCCAGACTGGGGTGTCCCACCTTTTGGCATCTCTAGGCCACACTGGATGAAGAAGAGTTCTCTTGGGCCACACATTAAATACACAAACATTAACAAAAACTGGTGAACAAAAAAAAAGTGGTTTTAAGTAAATTTATGATTTTGTGTTGGGTCGCATTCATAGCCACCCTGGACCTCCTGCGGCCCGCAGGCCACTGGCTGGACAACCCTGCTGGACAGACAGCAGTAAGGGAGTATCCTCTGAACAGGGCTGCTTATGAGCAAGAGGGTAAACCTACAGAGGCAGGAAACGGGATAGAAGGGGACGTTTTTGCCTGAGGGAGGAAAAGTCAGTGATTCTCAATGACAGATCTTATTTTTAAGTCTCATTTTGAGATGCTCTTCAATTTGGGATGCCACATGGAAAAAGGAAATTTTACAGACATACAGTTTAGCCCTGTTCCCTGACGGCGCAGCTTGTTAAAATGAGGTGCACTTACTAGAAAGTCCCAGAGAAGTTCACTAACTGGATGCAGTGCTATTCCCAAGCTAGTTGAGCTTAAGCTGCAGAAGAGAGCAAATGCTATATCCTGGCTCCTCCGATTTACACTCCCGCCTTGTGTTTACGAGAGTCAGCTGTGCACTGAGATTTACGTTCCTATTCTATCTTTAATCACCACCATCTACAATCTAGAACAGGACCACTTCTTTCCTCTCTCCCTCTTTCCTCTGACCTCCCTATGACTCCTTTTTCCAAAGCCTGACTTTTGTCTGTTGCATCCATTTCTCTGTGTATAGTAGCAAGTGCTTTTACACAGTAGCTCAGTCTCTTGTGATCCTGAAGAGAATGGGACTTGGAGAGACGGTGGGAACTGAACCTCCATGTTTCCAGAAGCAAATGGCCAGGGACATGACATGTACCATCATTTCTACTGGACTTCAACTTATTATTTTTATAATTAAGGAAACAAAAAAGAAATTCCTGCCGCTAGTTACAGTTATCTTTCGTCTTGGGGACTGGGGATGGGGATTTGATAGTTGATAAATGTTCCTGATAATTGCTATGGAGATTCCAAAACATGACCCAAGTGGTGGTACTGTAGCTGTGTGAAGGATATGTCTTCAGCCTTTCCAAACACCGGTCAGCCTTTCTCTAAGGGAAGAGACTGGTATGGCATTTCCTAACTGCTCAATGGATAGCAATTACTCCAGCATCATCAAACCTGTGCCTTGTTCAGCTGGTGCAGACTCTAGCTGAGTGAGCCCTCCAGAGGGACTGTGTTTTAACTGCCAATGGGAACATTTTATAAATGTTCCCATTGGCAGTTACGCAAGAGTAAAAATAGCTGTTGCACATCTGTGTAGGAGTATATTGCCTCTTACTGAAGCAAGTTTCCAAATGAAAAATATCAAGTGTTCCCAGGGCCATCTTCTTACTACCTGTGCCCACGGCCGAGGACGCTTGAAATTATCAGTGGCCCAACTGCTCCACCCACATGCTCTTTACCTGCTAATCTCATTTTCCTCTAACCCTGAACAGTCACAAGTATTCTAACACGAAGCTACTTCCTGTAAATTTTTTTTCTTTCAATTTATTCTTTGGTGGGGGTGCTAAAGAATTTACGTTAGGATGAAAGGGAGGAAGAAAAGCAGGTGGCCTCGACTGTCCTTTGAGGCAGCACAGCAAGTGTCGTTCAGGTGCATGTGGTAGCTGTAATGATAGCCCCGGTGGCAGAGTTGAGAAAGAAAACAGGCTCTGAACTGACAGCTGCTCCCTAGGTGCTTAGAGTCGTTTGGGTGCTTCCAGACCCAGGTTGCTACTTAGAACTGTTAATAGAATCTTGAGTGTCATTATTATAAAAGGTAGAAGTTTTCTATTGTATTTGGTTTCTTCTTCGTGCAGTTCTTTTATATTCAGTGAGCTTTGCCACTTAGACGTTTTTCTTTTCCATTCTTTTCTGTTGCCTTCTCATAGCTGATAAAATGTTCTATGCTGTGAAGCCTGAAAATCAAAGCTTCTTGACTTTAAGGGAAGAAGAATATCTTGGAGGCAGATGTCCAACCTCTTGTAAAATAAATGAACACTAAGTTTTAGCTGGTATTTAAATTAAACCTTACCTTAGTATTCAACACATCTTTCAGTTAAGCAGTGACAGTTTAACCTGCCAGTTTTGACTGCTGTATTTTCACGCTTAGGAGAATTCAATGAGAATTAGTTGAATAGGCCACTTCTGGGACATTTTCATGTTCGTGGTGTGTGAAAAGTTGTACAACACATAGAAAAAATAACAAATTCTTCCCTGAGGACAGTCAACCAGTCATACTGTCAGACTGCTGTTTCCAGTTCTAGCACATTCAGCAGTTCCTTCAGACACTGTAGTTCTTATGTATCGTCTTTCCATTGTGGGAGCGTGCAGAATGGTTTGGTATCTAAAGTGAGAGACTGATCCAGACTTTGAGGTAATCACAGCAAATCCGGTTATAACTGCATAGTTGAACTCTACCTCAGAGAAATTGTTTCACGTCTTCCATTGCCATGTTTGCTTCTATTTCTTTAGTGAAAATCTTCACAAGTCAAGTATGGCACTGCTGAGGTACCCTACTCCCTCAAGAAGCAAATATATTTTACAGAGCTTTAAATATTCCAGCATTGATTTATACAAATTCCTCATTAAAATATGTTTTACCAGACTGTTGTGGCAGGAAATCATTAACTACCTACTTCCAACTAAATACCTGCTCTTATGGACTTGTAAGTTACTCATAAATACTGCTGTGATAGCTTAGTATATGAATACTATTATTAAGTTTGAATTTAATAATAATTTAAACATGCTTAAAGAATTTTTCAACCATCAGTAAGAAATGGATTTGCTAAGCAAATTATAGTATCATATTAAAAGTATCATTGCCTCAGTGGAAATGAGGTTATTCAAGTGGCCGAACAAAAGTTTTAAATGCCTTATTTACCACCTGGATACAATTTCTTCTTCTCTTCTCCTGGATGACTTCCAACTCCCTTTTGTACGCCTTGTCCTACTGTACACGAATTATGTTTTCCGAAGTCATGGATGAAATCTTTGCAAAATGAAGGCACCTCAACTCTCCAAAGCCTTTCTTTAGTTCTTACAGGCATGGCTGGGCCGCTGTGAGTACCCAACACTCACCTTTCTCCAGTCACTCCTGTGGAATATTATTCAGTCGCTTTGCACCTCCTACTGTTTTTGGGAACTCCTAAGAACTGCCTTGACATTATATTTCTCATCCTATAAATCTTATCTTTTTTTGTGATATATTTTTACTTATTATTGGCTTCTTCCACTGGAATATAGGCTTTATGACATGTGCTCAGCTGTTCCTTGTCTGAGGGACCTTCAATGGACTGTGAGCCAACTTTGTGGTCACTTGGTCAGATTACTTTCTATTTGATCGTCTCAAAGAATATTAGACACTTTGGGTAGGGTTCCGCCTGGTGGGAAAATACGCCTGGGCTGAAAGTTAGAAGTGCTCACTCCACCACTAACTAACATGTATTTGTGAATACGTGTTTTGGTGCTTCTCATTTGGCATCTGAAAAATAGGGAAAAATATTACCTGTCTTATCTTAAAGACAATTTTGAGGATCCATTTATATGATAGATATAAAGGCATGTTAAATGTTTAAATGTACAATAAATACATAAAATGAGTGGCATTACATGCGACTGCCATTCCCCAGTCATTCTCTGCGGCTTTTTCCTGTTTTATATTTGTCACACTTAACACCACCTGGGGGTGTCATATTTTATTTATTTATTCTCAGCTTCCTTCATTCAAATGTAAGCTTCACAGGGCAAGCATTTTGGCCCTCTCGCTCACCGTGGTACCAGAGAAGGTCCCTCACGAGCCATATTTGTTAGTGACGGCCTGGGCCCTAAACCAACTCATGAGTCACTGTTCTCATTCCCTAGTGAATGTCTGCAGACTTGGCTGAAGAAGGTCTTTCATCTGTAACTTAGCCTCATGAATCTCACCTCAGTGGGTTTTTTTTTTTTTCCCCTTGAAGCTGTATTCTTAAAACTCTCTTGTAATTTTTAGCCATTAATTAACCATCCAGTTGAAACATCAGCCTGGTACACTCTACGGCAGTGCTATTGACACAGTGATCATTCTTCTGTCACCGGACCTCACAAAACAACAACTAGAAAACTCAGAGAATTTGCTTTTATTCAGTTTTCAGGTTGTTTGGTTTTAAGCATAATTTTATACAGTTATAGAAGCTTCTATGTATGGATCTTATTTTAATTTAACTAATATGACAAATCATTGCTATAATATTACCCACTAAATTATTCTACTCTTCTCCTCCCCCAGATTACAGCGGTCATAATCCATGTACAAAGATGCACCTGTTTCTTTCTGTGTTTCTTCATCAGGTCACCATTGTTGCGGATGATAACTGCAGGTTTTTATGCTGGTCAAGAGAAAGATTAACTTACTTTCTGGAATCTGAACCTTTCCTATATGAAATATTTAGGTATCTTATAGGAAAAGACATTACAAATAAGCTCTACTCATTGAATGATCCCACCTTAAATGATAAAGTAAGTGTTCTGCTGAGTGTGTTTATTTTGTTAAATAAATATGTATAGTGAAGTATGCCTCACTTAATGTAATATATGAGGGGGGACCCAAAAAAACCGGAATTATCTTCTGGAGGGTAGGTCCCTTGTAGTACAGGCTTCCCCAGCTAGGTGAGTGTGCTAGGAACCCATCTGTAACAGTGTACCAGCTGGCATTATTGTGAGAGGTTGCGTTTGGCATCAGCAAATTTTTTTTGAAGGCTCTTTCAACATATTTGCCCATTTCATGATGGATTGATTTACCAGTGCACCTGTCCACACCGCGCTGAGTGTTCAGCAGTTTTTGACCGAAAACAGCATGACTCACGTGCCCCACCTTCCCCATTCATCCAATCTCGCCCCCAGCAACTTTTTTTGTTTCCCTGGATGAAAAAAGTCCTCAAAGGGAAACATTTTGCCCATGTGGAAGAGGTGAAACAAAAAAAATGGCAGAAGCACTAAAAGGCATCAAAATCAATGAGTTCAAAAGCTGTTTTGAGCAGTGGAAAGAACGTCTCGATAGGTGTATTGCATCAAATGAAGGCTACTTTGAAGGTGACTGAAGTTTACATGTGCAAGAATAAATACACAATTTTTTATAAATAAATTTCTCTTTTGGGGAGTCCCCATGATTTTCATTAACTAGTCTTATGTTAAGTGAAGTGGAAAAACCTTCAGGGAATTATTTCTCAAGAGCGAGGAAATATTTTGTAATTACTATATTTGCCATTACATAGTGAGGTGTCTCTAAATCTCAGGGACCTCCACGGATGGTAAAGAGGTGCTGTCCTCTTCCTAAAGGGTCATTTAAGGAACCTAAGGAAGATGGTTAGTGAGTTGTCATGGGAGCTGGGGAGGAGTAAGCCAGGGAAGGCGGGGCAGTGGGGAGGTTGCAGACTGAGAAAGGCTGGCAAACCCCAGTGAGCAGGAAGCTGGCTTTGTAACCCCGGGTCTTCCCGTCTTACATGTCCTCCTGGTCGGGCATCTTCCAAAAAACCCCACAAGTGACAAGAGAGGTGGAGGATGCAGGCCTGTAGCAATTCAGTTGAGATTTTCAGAGCTGTATAGATCTTTAGCAACCTACAATTCGATATTCATTTCCCCACATTTGCCTAGAAGGAAATTAAAATGATCACAGAAGAAAACTTGCAAAACCTCATGCCTGTGATAAGTACTGTTCTCCAGGGACCATGAGTATGCGTGTGTACTCTCTTAAGGTCATCTTTTCTAAGCTGTTTATCAAATTAGGTTGGTGCTTATTATTTTTAGATTAATAAATAGGCTACTGATTATATTAAATTTACTATAATGTATTTAGAGTAATATTAGAAAATAAAAATTATCGCAAACATTTATTGGGCTACCTATGTACCAGGTAGCCTTTTATTTCAAGGAAAAGCAAATGCTGCTGGTAGGGAATAGATGATGTAAGTCCCATAGATGTCAGAAATCTTAAAACCTTGTTTTTTAGAAAGCCAAAAAGTTGGAACACCAGCTCAGCCTTTGCACGCAGATCTCCATGCTGGAAATGAGGAACAGTATAGCCAGCTCCAGTGACAGCGAGGACGGCTTACACCAGTTTCTTCGGGGCACCTCCAGCGTGTCCTCTCTTCGTAAGTTATCCCAAAACTGATGCTCTTTTGGGATTCTGATGGATGTCACTGGACAGAGACCAATGACAACTTTGATCATAAAAATAACTTTGCAAGTAACTATTTGGCAACCTAACGGTATCATTAAAAATAATCAATTTTTTTCTAGCTTTCCCCCACCTCCCATATTTTATATCAGCTAAAATCCAACTTTAGAGCTCTTATTTCTATCTCAGAAAGTGCTCACTACTTTTGCCACGTACTTTTCTTAAGTACTCTGGTTCACCAAAATAATGTGAAGGAGTCGTTATGGTTTGCTGGATATTCAGCTTTGTTGTTTTTATGATTTTAGTTCTAGTGGAAGCCCAGCAGTGTGTTAAATATGGTAGCAAGCAACTGCTGGGCATTTTACTGCTGGCTGGTCATCTCAGTGTGATCGCCAGGAATTAACAGGTGACCGGGTCATGGGATAGCCCTGAGGATGAAGGACACCACTCACACACCCCCGAGAGGAAAGTTTTGAGAGATCCTTCCATAGTTTAGAATGTTTTAAGACATTTCAAAGACTCTGATGACTGTTAAAGATTAGTAAGTAAAATGAGAGAAGCTAGATTATTTTAAGAATTAAATGCTTAAAATTATTTTAAGAATTATTCCAAGAATGAGAGTAAAGGAACTTTAAACAAATTCATGTGCAATAATAGCAAAAAGACAAACTCTCTTATTGCACAAACCAAAAATTATCTATGTTTCCAAATGTATGTTAAACCAGAGTAACTTTTGAGTAAATATAGACACTCATTCAACAAATACCTAAGTGTTTATGTAAATGATCTTGTAGCTTTGGATGCTTTCGGTAAATTGGATTAAGGGTTTTAACTATTGCATAGTTCAAATTGGCAAAGGTTTGACAAGGCCATATAAGTGGCGTAAGCTTCCAAAGCAAAGACTCGGCATAGAAATGTTTTGTGGACCTAAAGGAGGTTTCAGGAGCAACACAAATGAGAAGTTGGGAATGGCTGTGTTTTATTCCAAAGTTATTTTTTGAAAAATATCTGAGATTGACCAAAGTCTGCAGTCTACTAGCATATCAAATGTATTGAAACAGTTTGGTGGTCAAAAGCATTTTCAAATGGACTCATCTTAATTACCTGTATAGTAATTACGGACTAAGAAAGGTCAGCAGAAAGGAAATTACAGTGAAATGTCATGATTATTTTTTCCTGTAGAATAGCTTATTTTTGTAGTTCTTACTTTTGTGTCGTTTTACAGCCTTGCTCAGGAAGCATGAGAAACAGCAGTATATAATATGAGCATTTGTTGACTTAAAATCAGTTTTGTTTTCTGTAGTATTTTATTGTATAATCTAAATATTTGGGGGGTAAAACATTTTAGGGGGGAAAGCTTATGTAGAGTATGTTGTTAAATAGAATTAAAACATGTTTTCAAGATTAACATTTGTACTTCACTTGCCTCCAGAAATCTCTGTTTCCTAGTGTTCATTGAATGGGGGTGACACACGTTGTCAATGCAGACCGGGGCTCTTGCTCTAATAATTATTAGCTGTGTGACTTGGGGGACATCACAGAACCTTTCTCATCTGACACAAGCTGTCATAGCTCAGCACAGGCCAGCATCTGGTCGCAACTCCTGCTCTATTTTCTTCCCTCTTCCTTATAGTAAATCATGAAATCATGCCTTTGATCCAGTCGCTCCTGCATGGATAATTCAGGCTTCAGTGCTTGTGAAGAAGTGTGCTGCCCTTCCCTGCGAGGCTGCATTTTCACTTCTAGTTTCCTTGTTCCCTTGTCTAACTAGACTTTAGGGCTTTGCTGTACTACACATGTGTACAACCTGTGTAAGTTGATTAAGTTGATTATTTAATTATTTAGCCTGAGGTTCGTTATGCAGGATCTTACCTATCGATACGAATGCGTCTCGCTACACACGCATGCATGTTTTTGAGTGTGCGTGTGAGCTGCACAAGTCCATGTTCATACCTGCTCCCTTTGACCAATCTTTCTTCCGAGACTCTTGACTTCCCTCCTGCAGTCTCACGAAAGACATTAGAACTTAGCACAATATTGACACTAACTATGAGTCACTTAATTCACGCTAGCATGTAGTTCATTAAGAACTGGTTCTTGTTCCTCTTACGCGGTTTTAGCTCAGAACTACTGAAGGCCACCGTTTTTCTTTTGCCAGTCCCATCAATATGCCATCTACTTTTCCATATTACAAATTACACCCCTTGTAAAAACAGAATGCAAAATCAATCTCCTAGGTCTGTTAGGCTGAAATAACAAAATTCATCACATTTTGAGCATGTGTTAGGTCTTGGTAAATGGTAGGTCCTTAACACTAGTGACTAAGCTCTTATTATTCTGAGTTTCTGATGTGCAAATGGGACAGCCCGGCAGCTGGTCTCAGCAGTGCTATCAGTTTTGTGAATGCTAATGGGGAGAAGGGAACAAACGGTAATTGACAATAGCAGCTCTTATTTTTTCAGGTGCTCTCTATACATAATCACATTGCATATTCACTGTAATCCCGCACAGAGGGAGGTAAATTAGTTGTTACTAGAAGATGTGGCACTCACAGACAGTCCCCGCAGTCTCTGGCTGTGATGAAGAGGCTGCTTTCTTGCTCCTGTGCACACTGGAGGCTGCTCCAGGCCCGCATCCAACTCACTCTGGGACGCTGAAGGAGCAGTCACTATTTGGGTCACTGCCACACATGGCAGAGGGAAGACGGTGGTGACAGAATCACACTGTGGCTCTTAGAGCTCCGTCGTCGAAGTGGCTCGTGTTCTCTGGACCAGGGAAGTCGTTTGGCCAGAACCGCCATCGGTGAATGGAGCTTTAATCCTCCTGCAGGGGCTGCGCAAGAAGGGGCCTGGTGAGGGAGGGAAAGCAGGTATTTTTGACAATAATGCAATCTATCACAGTGAGTATTATTTCATTTTACAGATGAGGAAATTGGAAATATGAGATGCTTATCCACTTGTTCCAGCGCCACAGGGGGAGATGCTGGAATACCAGCCTAAGTATCCTGTCTGATTCCAAAGCCCGTGCTGTTAGACCGCACTGTCTCTGTGTTTTCAAAAGAAAAGAAAAAATGCATATAACATTTGAGTAGTGCTTTATAGTTTACAGGTCACTTTCACACCCGATCTTGCATTTGAACCTGACAGCCCTGCTAGCGAGGCACAGCAGCATTATTATTCATTCACCCTTTTGCAAGATGAGTCCACCTACACTCAGAGGGAAGGAAGTGCTAGCCCAAAGTCACTCCCTTCCCTCCAGCCTGCTTCTCTGGAGAAACCTACCATCCCCCCATCCTTCATTATGACCAAGCAGTGCTGCAAATAGAATTTCTAGACTGGTTAATTTCCATTTCAATGAAATGTTTGCCTTATTCTTTGTACGAGGGTTCGACATAGGAACATTAAAAATTAACCAATGGGGAGGAAGGGGGAGGAAGTAGATGAGGGTATAAGGGAGGTAAATGGTAACTGAAAAAATATATAATAAAAAATAAACTATCAGATTTTTTAAAAGATTTTATTTATTTATTTTTAGAGAAAGGGAAAGGGAGAAAGAAAGAGAGGGAAAGAAACTCCAATGTGTGGTTGCCTTTTGCACACCCTCAACTGGGGACCTGGCCTGCAACCCAGGCATGTGCCCCGACTGGGAATTGAACCTGTGACTCTTTGGTTTGTAGGACGGCACTCAATCCACTAAGCCACACCAGCCAGGACACTATTACATTTATTTTTTTAATTAACCAATAATATTCTCCAGCCTTTTAGCTCTAGGTCAACTTTCACTTTGCCTCGCTTGTTCTTACAGAATTACGAGCAAAACTACTCTCTAAAAATTAAATTTATTTTGTATACTTTCCTAATTAAACAACTTTTATATTATTCCATTTAGTCATTAAGTCAAATAAAGAAGTAGACTTAAGCATTAAAATGCATATGAACACTTCTCATCATTATTTTTCAAATCAGGATCAGCATGTATCCAGCGCATTTGGCCAAGGCATCTCTAAAGTCTCTTTCATTCTCTGAGCTTCCCTTTCATCTTTGTCTGATTCTCTGTGTGTGTTTCTGCATTTTTGTTTTGTTTTTGGTTTTTTTGTTTTTCCTGTAGAACACTGATTCTTAAACATAAATGAGCATATGAATCACTTGGAGATCTTATTTAAGATTCTAATGCAGACCTGGGTGTGGCCTGGGAGACCACCCAGTTAATGAAGACCATGTGATGCCAGTGTGTCTGCTCCCTGGACTACACTTCTAAGTAGTGAGGTTGTAGAATTCCCTGCATTCTGAAATTTTGTCGTTATACATGTTACTTGTATTTTCTGTTTACTGGTAGGTAGATCTAGGGACTTGCAGAGATTACAATGAAGACACTATTTTAAAGATATTGGCCAGTATGGGATATAATGCTACAAACATACTTCATAACATTACACAGCATATGTTCAGTTTACCAGAAATGCAATTCGGAAAAAGGTGAAGGGGAACTTTAGGTGAACTGTTCCAGTGAAATTTCTACTGATCCCATTTCTTATGTTGGGCTCTGTTTTTACACATCGCACGATGTTAAATTCAGAGCAGGATCCCTGCTCCCTACTACACAGATTCTGTATTCCACAGCAAATTATTATTCAAAGGAATGAAAGTGAGGTAACAAGATGGTCTAAGGAAAGATGGTTTCTACTCATTTATTCAGTAACTCATCATCCAATTAATTTAACCCTTCTTGCTTGCTTCACTTACTTGAGTTTCATAGTTGGAAGTGTCATAGGAAGAAAGACAAGGGACAAGATGTGCAGAGTGTGTGAGAAGGATATAAGCTTTCTTTTCTCTGCTCCTGGACCAAGATGCTTATCAGGGTACCTGTCATCTTGTCTTCCTTATGAGGTTTAGCTCCCCACATGGAACATGTAAAACACACGCACACACATGCACACACACACACACTCACTCACTCACATTGATTGGCCTTGGC